GGCAACAGTGTCTTAATTGGTCTATAGCTTGATCCTCCAACCTTAACTGATCTAGTACTCCAGCCCAAGGCCCGATGCCCATCAACTGTTCTAAGGATATCTGTCTGGCCTAATTATGTGCAGCCACTGTCTCCGCATGGTCCTGCTACCATGTGCGAAACTGAAAAACTCCCCGGGGGCTAAGACAGTCCTTGCCAAAGTTGAGCAGTCCACAGAGATCAGTTTACTGCCCTCAGCAATCCCCTGAATTATCCTGACTGTGAAGGGAGAGTTAACTGCATAATTCTGAACTTCCTGTTTTTAACTTTTTTTTTTTTTTTTTGAGGAAGATTAGCCCTGAGCTAACTACTGCCAGTCCTCCTCTTTTTTGCTGAGGAAGCCCGGCCCTGAGCTAACATCCGTGCCCATCTTCCTCTACTTTATATGTGGGATGCCTACCACAGCATAGTGTGCCAAGCAATGCCATGTCCACAACCAGGATCTGAACCAGCAAACCCCGGGCTGCCGAGAAGCGGAATGTGCAAACTTAACCACCTCGCCACCGGGCCGGCCCCTGTTTTAACTCTTTTAAGATCTTAAAAGGGAAAGGATCATGAATAGCCTCATATATGCCATTGGGATTTTGAGGATCAACACCAGGAGCCCCTCTCTCATGAACCGTCACAGGGAATGCCATGTGAAGGGCTTCCAGATCTCCCTCCTTTAATGCTTGTCTAATCTCCATTTGTAATGTTGAAAGTGTGGAAGCTGGAGGACACTTGGCTATGGTGCCACCAACAAACTCCAGAATGAGTGGAGGAGGGAGCGAGACCAGAGGTAGCAGTGGAAATATATCATCAGGCTCAGGTGCCGTGGGCCACATGTACTCCTTCCTTTTAGTAGCCGTCCCTTCAGGGACTGCATATTCAGGGCTCTTTATGTGATCAGTAAAGGAGCCTCCATCTTCTCTGTCTGTCTCTCCTTCGCTCTCCTCTGAGGAGTCATGGGTTTGGAGGGGCTCTAGTATGGAACGAATTAATGACCAAGTGTTCCATATAGTCACAGGCATCGGAATACCCTTCTGATATTCTTTCTTTAACTCAGTTCCCACATTTTCCCAAGATTGTAAATCTAACATACCCAGAGTAGGAAACCAAGTACAGTGCTTCTCTATGATCTGCAGCAACTCAAACAATTTATTTTTACTGACCTTAGCCCCGCCCCTGCCCTCAGCAATTGCCTGAGTAAGCAAGTGTAAGGGCAATATTGTTCTGTACTTTCAAAGTTACCCATTTTCCCTGTTAAAATCCCTGGAAACACTTACCCCAACAGGAATCTTCAGAGGCATCCACACCGCTTCCAGGTCCCGCACCACTAAAGTCCCACTTTTGCTCTTGGCGATGTTTCCTTTGAACCTCACATTGGGTGCCACTTGCTGCCAAGACAGGCTAGGCAGCAAGCTGAGGGAGCAGACGGAATTTATAGACAGAACACAATGTATATATTCAACGGGACAGGGGACCATCAGCCTCAAAGACTGAGATGAGGTCCCTCTGCTCACCACGTACTTATTTGCAGGCAAAGAAACACAAGCATGTACAATAGCAGGAACTCATGCCAGCAGGCACACGCAAGCCAAAGCCCAACAGTTCTATTCTTCGTCCCTCTGACGCACACCACACTTAGGGGGTATCTTAAGAACAATCAGCAAGATATGCAGGTGGTGTTCCATTCCTGCAAGGGCCCGGTGTTCCCAAGCCCCTTGCCTTCACGCTTGATAACATACTCCCCTCCAGCCTTGGATTCCAAAGCACAAGCAATCTGGTATAATAATTATGAGAGTCAGCAGATCACATATCTCCCAGCCACCCATTTGGAACTTATTTTTCCTCGGCTTAAAGCCTGGCAAGAATGCTGCTATGATCTTCCGCAGCACTATCATATCATGTATGGTACCGTATCATGTTCATTTCACGGTGTTCCACAAGTCCCTTAGACTCTATTCACTTTTCTTCATTCTTTTTCCTTTCTGCTCCTCAGAGTCAATGATTTCAATTATCCCGTCTTCAGAATCATGGATTCTTTCTTCTGCCTGCTCAAATTTGCTGCTGAATTCCTCTAGTGAATTTTTCATTTCAGTTATAGTACCTTACAGCTCCAGAATTTCTGTTCAATTCTTTTTTATAATTTCTCTTTGTTGATCTTGCTCTTACATAATTTTCCCAATTTTGTTTAGTTGTCAATACTTTCCTTTAGCTCTTTGAACATATTTAAAACAGTTGTTTTAAAGTCTTTGTCTAGTAAGTCCAATGTCTGGGCTTCCTCAGGGACAGTTTCTGTCCATTTATTTTACGGGGCCAGGTTTCCATGTTTCTTTATATGCACTGCAATTTTTTTGTTCAAAATTGTTCATTTAACTACTATAAGACGGTAACCCTGGAATTCAGATTCTCCCCCTTCCTCAGTGTTTGCTGTTTATTTTTTGATTGTTGAAGATGGTAGTACTCCATTTGTTTTGATACTTTTCTACCAGTTTTTGGAAAAACTATTCTTTGCTGTGTATGATCACTAAAGTCTCTCTTCCTTTAGCTTTTCTTTAGCTAATGTCTTAACAGAGATTTCCTTGAATGCCAAGAGCTCTCCTAGGCTTTGCAAATTGGCTTTGTGCTGGAGCAGTTCTTTAACTCTTAGTTTGCTCTCAGCCTAGGAATCAACCCAAGGTGAAAGCTTAAGGTCTTCTTATGTCTTTCTGAGCAAGCATCTTGCCTGGGCACGCATGTGGCTTTCCAAATTCCCTTGTATACATGGCTGCTTTTGAATGTCCCACTTTCTCAAATAGTCTCACCCCAGCTTCACCTCCAGACCTTAAATGATATGTTTCCACCTGTAATCTCTTGCCCCAGAGGTCTGTGGGTTCTGCAGCAATTAATAGCAGTGCCCACCACTTTTACACCTGAGTTCCAATTTATATGAAACAGACAAGTACCTTGCATCCCCCAGGTTAAAATGGATGTACATAATAACTTGCAAATAAGGTCTGCCATGCTCTCTGGTTTCAGGGAAAGAAATGGGAACCAGGCTGCCACTGCTTCAACACCAAAACCACCATCAGGTCACAAAGGGGTTGGGGAAGGAATGAGTAAAAACACCACAAAACTTTCCTATCAGTCTGAAGATAGCTTTTTCTTGGTCAGATGTTCTCTTGGTTGCTATAAACCTATTACTGTTTTCCATAGCTATGACAAAGTTGGTTCAGACAGTTTCTGCCTGTTTTTTTTTTTCCCGATGTTTCTGTGGGAAAACGAGCTTGGAGCTTCCTACTCCACAATTTTGCTCAAACATCTGAACAGATTTTCAAAGGTTTTTTAACTTTCAGATTTTAGTTTTGTTCATATCATTTGCAAGTTCTAGTTTTACTGAACTGTGATATTTCTACTCTGTGGAATTTACTAAAGTTTTCCTGTGGGGTTCTAATGTATTTTTATATTTTCTGAATATACCATTGGCAATGGTTTATTCTTTATTTCCAGAGTACACAGTTTGAAAGACATATCCAGACATTAGATTCACCTAGAGCAGAGTTTCTCAAATTTGTCATTATTAACATTTTAGAGCAGGTAATTCTTGGTGGTGTGTGGTGGGGGTGGTAGTGGTTGTCTTGTACATTACCAGACGTTTAGCAGCATTCCTAGGTTTTTCATGAGATACTGGTAGTATCTCCCCCTCAGCTGTGACAAACAAAAATGTCTCCAGACATTGCTAAATGTCCCATGGTGGGCGAAATCACCCTCTGTTGAAAACCACTGTCCTGGAGCATAGGCCAGATAACAAATATTTTAGGCTTCACAAGCCATATGGTCCCTGTCATTTGTCAACTATTTTCTAGTATGAAGGCAGTAGCTGTCAATACATACAAGAACTGGAGTGGCTGAGTTCCAAAAAACTTAATTTACAAAAACAAGCGTCAGGTTGGATTTGGCTCGAGGGCTGTATTTCACCAACCCTTGTTCTAGAACTTCAGTTGTTCTCCACTATATTTCGTATAAAGCCAGAGAGGTATATTAATGTCTACTATATCTAAGTTGTTTTTGTTTCTCCTTATCTCTTATAATTGTTGTTTTATGGATTCTGATAAACTTATTACCTGATGCATAGATATTCAAAACTTTTATTGTTCTTTTAAAATGGTCTTTAAAAAACATTCAGGGCCAGCCCCGTGGCTGAGTGGTTAAGTTCACGTGCTCTGCTTCAGCGGCCCAGGGTTTCGCCGGTTCGGATCCTGGGTGCGGACGTGGCACTGCTCATTAGGCCATGTTAAGGCAGCGTCCCACATGCCACAACTGGAAGGACTCACAAATAAAATATACAGCTTTGTACTGGAGGGATTTGGGGAGAAAAAGCAAAAAAAAGAAAGATTGGCAACAATTGTTAGCTCAGGTGCCAATCTTAAAAAAAAAAAAAAAAACTCCACATAATTCAAGTGCCCTTTTTCTCATTTAATATTGTGCCTGAATTCCTGAATTCAAACTTTAGCAGCCAAGTAAAAGAACCCTGGATTATTTGTATATTTATTGGCTTACTAATTTATTATTTTATATTTAACTTTCCACATTATTTTTTAGGTATATCTCTTTGGTACAATGTGACAGCACTTCTTTTAATTCCATATTATAGAACCAATGATAAAATTAATGTTTTCTCTTTCTCCCTAAATATCCTTTAACCTCCAATTTTAGTGCCTTTTCTAATATTTCTTAGCTTTTATAATTTTACCATTAATTAAAAATCTATAACTTGATTTGTCACTTGTAAATGATATACTTGGGCTCCCAGTTTTTAAAGATCAGAAAATCAGTATGCTTACATTGCATTAGTTATGTTATATGCTCACCTTCCACATTATATTGGATCTATTCTTTGTAAACTTCCAAAGATAAAGGCTTCTAAAAATTCCCACCTCTAACTGATCACTTTGGATCTAATCTCCCCTGGACACCTTCTGCGAGTGCTCAGTAACTCACCTGGGGAGCAGCTGTTTAGAAATTCTTCCTCTAATAACCATGGATCTTCTCCTTCCTTCAACTTGAAGGTCACAGCTGGTTTTCTAAAGCAATACTCTACAAGTGGAAAATAATTTAGGATTTGGATCAGCTGCGTGGGCTTCAATGCTTCTGAATGTAAAGGAAGGCGCAGCTTTAGGAACTGTACATTGAAGGTGCTCACTTGACCTTTTTGAGGAGGTGACAAAAGGAATGAATGTCCTTAAATCTCTGAATCTCAAGACTAAATAATACTAAATTCTACAAATGGTCCAGGAGTGTTGGGTTTTATGAAAGGGACTGCACGGGGACTTCCACTTTATCTCCTCACGTCAAACAAGTAGAAAACCATACAAAATTGGACAACAGGCAGTACAGGATAAGAATTCTTCAGAAAAAGAAAACAAATTAGGTGAGCCTTATTATTGTCACAGTCTGAAAAATTTCTAGGCTACAGCACAGCGAGGGGAAACCGAAGAGAGCCTGACAGTCTCAGTAAGTTGAGGAGAAAGATGTGGAGCTTCGAAATGCCAAGGCAACTAGAATTGGCAGGACAAAATACTGGAGAGGAAAGAGCTGTAGTGAGGGAGAGCTGTGGAGATCTCGGAAAGGTCCCCTTGAATCTCTGGGTGAGCATGGACTTGTGCATGCATATAGGAAACTACCTGAGGCTGGGAAAAGAACCACTGGGAAGGAGTAGGTTGGAAAATCACCAAAGCACACAAAGATGGGAAGTTTGTTATCCCACCAGCCAGAGCAGAAAGACCTCTTAATTCATGGAGGATTCAGTAGAATAACCTGAAAGCTTCTGCCTTAGTACAGGAGCAAAAAAAAGGTGCTGTGAATCCAACAGAAAAAGCTTAAAAGCAGACTTCGAAAGGATCAAACTAATTCCAGAAAAGATATTTCTGTTGCTTAAGCCACCTGGTCTGTGGCATTCTGTTATGGCAGCCTGAGTAGTCTAATACACTCATAAAACAAAAAATGGAAAAAAGCTATGAAATATCGACAAATTAAAAACCTCTCGTATTTGAAAAATACCATTAAGAATATAAAAAAAAGGTTGAGGGAAAAAATATATACAAATTATTTATCTGAGGAAACATTTTTATAGAGTATATATAACTCTCCAAAGCAGTAAGAAACAATGTTTGATAATGGAAAAAAGAGTCAAACAGGCACTTAACTACAGAGGAACAGATGATAAACATGCTCATTATTAGACATTAGGAAAATTCAAATTAAAACTAAAATGAAATACATTACAAACCTAATACAATGGCTCTAATAAAAAACCTGACATTATTAAATGCTAGTGAAGATGCAGAGCAACTTGAACAATCGTACACCGCTGAGGGAATGCAAAATGGTGCAGCCACTTTGACAGCTTCTTAGATTAAACATACACTTATGAGACCCAGCAATCCCACTCACTCCTTGGTATTAACCCAAGAGAACAAAGACGTATGTCCACATATGAATGTTCACGGCTGGACACAATCCGAATATGCATCCACGGGAGAATGGATAAATTGTGGAACAGACACACAACAGATCACCACTCATCAAGAAAAATGAAGATCCACTGAAACATGGTCTTGAGACAGAGTCACCAACAGGTGGCCCTGGACAATTCACTGACTCTCTCAGGTCCAATTTCTTTAAAGTTTTAAATGAGACAAAAGTAGACAACCATGGAAACCCTTCACGAGCATTCACTGTGGGATTCTCTGAGGTCAGGATAACATCACTAGTGCCACATGTGGTGTCATACGTGTGACAGCAGCATCTGTAAAGAGTGGGACCACTCAGGCATAGAGGAGACAGAACTTCCTCCCTCTGCCTGGATATCCCTTATTCCCAGACCTCACCCTCACAAGCTCCCCAACAAAGCCGTCTTGCCTGAGCAGCCTGCCCCCGGGCCACCCCAGCTCATCCCAGCTCACCTGACTCCTCTCAAGGATGGCTCAAACTCCCCATTGTCACAGTGTGTTGGCTTCTGGACGTAGTGGGATCACCAGGTCGGGCTCATTCTTGTCAGGAGGATCAAGAACTGCTTGGGGCTGTGCAGACCCGCTTCCTTATGGGCTCTTGTGCCTCTGCTCTGAAGCTCTGGTGAGAGGTCTAAGGTCAGGCAGTGCTCTCCTCCAGGTAATCCTCCTGTTACCATTGTCCCCCTGCTTCCTGCCTCACAAGAGCTGGTTTGCTGTAAAATGAATTTCCCAGGAGCTGGGGTCTGGGCCTGGGCAACTAATTTTAGGAGTTCACTATAATCTCAGACGGAAAACACAGACTGCCTGCCAGCACATGAAGGGCTAGGAGGCTCTGTCTGACTCAAGAGATCTGAGGAGACAGCAGAAACCGCGGAATACACGGCACACATGGTAGGATTCCATCTCCATTCACTTCCCTTATATCCCTGGGGATTTGGGGACAGGTCACTCTGCTAAGTGCTGTGAAGGCTTCCAGGCAGGCGTGATGTTAGACAAAGCCTGAGACTGGAAGTAAAGCACACCTGCCCTTGAATCCAGACTCCCTCACTGCTGGCTTGTGACCTCAGCACATTGTTCCACCGACCTGAGCCTCCGTTGGTATTTTTATTGCGTATGGTCATACCGACTTCATGAAATAGTTGTGAGGTTACATTAAGTCATCCAATGAAAAGAACAAAGTGTCTTCTAACTATAACAGTTGTCACTTACTCAGGGCTTAGTACCCTGCACTAGCCTATTCGATTGACAGGTGATGACTTATCTAAGTTTCACAACAACGCCATGAAGCAGCCATTACCAATATCCTCCCTGTCCGGTGAGAAAGCGGACTCTCACCCGGGGGCCTTCTGTCGCCCCGCCTGCAGGTACAGGGCCGGGACTGGCCGGGCCTTTCTGGTTCTCCCCGCCGACCCACCGCCCGCGCTCTCCGGCCGCTCACGGTCGCCATTATACACGCCCCCGCCCCGCCCCGGGCCCGTCGTGGGTCGGGCTGCAGGCGGGCGGGCACGCGGCCCCCGCCCCCGACGGGCTGCGCCGCACCTGCGTCCCGGAGCCCCGCATTGAGGGCTGAGGCTGGGGGTCCCTGGGCCTGGGTGCTCCCGCGCTCTGGGTCACAAGTCCACTCCTCTCAGGAAGCCCCCGCTGTGTCCCCCTCCCCCCAGTCCCCCCCAGAGCCATACAACCAGGGCTCCGGCGTCAGCGCCCCGCCTGGGCCGGGAGCTCAAGAGCAGGACAGCGGGTCAGGGCCTGCACATGCGCAGATGTAACCCGGAGCGTTCCCAGACAGCTGCACCGTGAGCCAACCGGATTCAAGACTACATTTCCCACAAACCTCTGCGCCTTGAGAAGCCATTGTTTCTTCTTTGTTAGACGGTCAGCGGATGTCCTGCATAGTCTCTCCTGCCCAGGTTCTGGGCTAAACGCGAACTTAACCGCTGAACGCAATGCGTGGTTCTCCCTCAAATCTGCATGGAAGAAACAACGTGAAAGACGTTGGGAACAATTTGGGAAATTTGAATGTGGACTGGCAATTAGAAATATTAATAAACATTACAGTCACTCAATTGTTAAGAGGAATTTCACTGAAAAAATGTATTATTTATATAAAGGTGTCGACGGAAATAATCCATAACCAATCTATAAATGAAAATTTGGGTGAGTTTATTCTGAGCTTAAATCTGAGGATTATAGCCTGGGGCCTTTCTTCATGAAGGGAGAAAGGGCACCAAAGAAGTGGGGTGCACAGAGTGGTTATATACCCCCCAGAGAGGATGTTTCACATAGGATTGAAATGTCCCTTTTACAATAGTCGAGAGACTGCTCTGTCGGCACAGCGATTGATGGAAACAGCAGGTAGGTCTTCTGTCTCAGTGAACACAGCAGGGTGGCGGTCTGTTGTCTCCAGCTGAGTGGTCACAGGTGAGCTGGGTGGTCAAAGGTGAGTGCAGCAATCAGTTCCTAGCCTAAGGAAAGATGCTTATCCCTAAGGAAATGCTAATGTGGGGGGAAGTTGCACCTTTATCTCAAGGGCCTTTGTTCTGGCCACAGGAAATGTCTAAGCAGATATACAGTGCGTGCTCAACAGCCACAGTCAGGCCCTTTTGGAAAAAACAAAGTCAGGCCGAATTAGGTTTATACCAAATGGCTTCCTCGTATACTCCAATATATCCTATTGCTTGCCATTTTTATTTGTCAAAGGCATACATAGTGACACATTTAGCACTGAAATTATCTTAATTCTCTTTACAAAGTTTCAGCATAAACTAACAAAGCAAACATGGCAAAGGTTAAAATTTCCTATTGAGGGCATGGCTGGCTATGTATGTGATGCGGGGTCGGTGAGCCAAGGAGTAAAAACAAAGATTTCTTGGATTCTCAAGATCTGGCAGTAGTTCTCTTTTATTTAGAGAATAGTGTGGAATAGCATGGGGACAGGACCCGTGGGCGTCAGAGCTGCTGCTGCTGCTAGCATGGGGACAGGACCCGTGGGCAAGCTGAGCTGCTGCTGCTGCAGGCATGGGGACAGGACCCATGGGCAGTCAGAGCTGCTGCTGCTGCTAGCATGCGGACAGGACCCATGGGCAGGCAGAGCTGCTGCGTGGGGACAGGACCCATGGGTAGTCAGAGATGCTGCTGGCATGGGGAGCTGCTGCTGCTGCTGCCGCTGGCATGGGGACAGGACCCATGGGCAGGCAGAGCTGGTGCCAGCATGTTGCTGCTGCAAAGTTGGGTGGAGAGTAAGGCTAAATTTAAGGCATAGTTATGTGAGTTATCTCTTTACAAGACAAAGGAAAGAATATGTAAAAAAGTTAAAATGGTATCAGTGCCCGGTAGGGTCTGGCCATTGGGTGGCCCCACAACTTTTAGATAAGAATCAAAGCAGATTGAGTAAATGGCAGAAGCCACGGCTTAAATATTATCCTCAGCCAAAGACAAAGGAGGATTTTGTCAGGGGGGAGGGGGGAGTGGGGGGGGGGGGGGTCAGTTACGTGAGGTTGCCAGACAGTAAACAACTTAAGTTCTTGCCTCTGGCATTGATTAAGAGTTTCTAGAGATAAGGTCCTCTCCCTTCTTCCTGGCACAGACAGGAGGCATCTTTACAGATGGAGGTTTCCCTTACAAATGTAAATGTTTCCCAATAAAGGGCAAGCAAATTCTGCTCCTCGGAGCCTGCTTCTCATCTGCAGTTTTAAAATTAACCAGCCCAAAATCTTCATCATATGGATGCTTATTTTACCATTTTCTACTTTTCTATCTTTTTCGAATTTTTGTAATACAAAAAAAGAATGGGGATTCTGTCTCCATTAAAGTACCTTTTAAACTCAAAGCTGCCCAGAAAAGTCAAGGTACAAGTATCTCTTGGGAATAAGGCTGTGAAGCATATGACAAATAAAAATGGCAAGCAATAGGATATATTGGAGTATATGAGGAAGCCATTTGGTATAAACCTAATTTGTCTTGACTTTGTTTTTTCCAAAAGAGCCTGACTGTGGCCATTGACCAGGCATTGTGTATACATTTCCCATGGCCAGAACAAAGGCCTTGAGATAAAGGTGCAACTTCCCTCCCCCTCCCAACGTTGGCATTTCCTTAAACATTAAGCATCTTTCCTTAGTCTAGGAACTGATTGCAGTGCTCACCTGTGACCACTCAGCTGGAGACAACGGACCAGCCACCCTGCTGTGTTCACTGAGACAGAAGACCTACCTGCTATTTCCATCAATCGCTGTGCCGACAGAGCAGTCTTGCCACTATTGTAAAAGGGACACTTCAATCCTATGTGAAACATCCTCTCTGGGGGTATATAACCACTCTGTGCACCCCACTTCTTCGGTGCCCTTTCTTCCTTCGGGAAGAAAGGCCCTGGGCCATGGTCCTCAGATTTAAGCTCAGAATAAACTCATCCAAATTTTCATTTATAGATTGGTTATGGATTATTTTCCTCGACACATAAATAAGAGACTTGAACAGGGAGCACACCAATACTATAAAAGAAGCTATCTGTGACCAAAACAGTTTATTTCAGGGAAAGGGAAAAAGCAAATATCAAAAATACATAATATATGAAAATACACACAATGCGAAATAAGAAAATGGTTATCAAAGAAATCATGCATTTCCCAGAGATGACCCTGCTTCAACCTTATTTGAGCATCTTGTTGATTTTTGTTTTGAACTAAATTGGGCACATACGGGCATACTATTATAGGAATATCTTTTTACTGAATTACATATATTGAGCATGTATCTGGTCAATATTATTTCACAATATCAATCATTTCCTCATACGCGGAAAAAAGGAACAGAGTCGTCAAAAAGCGAGCACGATGTAGGGAACCAGCCGAGGCCTCACTCTCCAGCGGCTCTCCTGGGAACGCGCGCCCCGCCCGCTTCCTCCGAGTCCCGGGCGGCGGCGGCGCGAGCGGAGCCCAGCTGGCCGGCCGAGCTCTCCCCGCCGCCACGGCTCCCGGGCGCCGCCTCCGGTCTCGCACCGCCGCGTCTGGGGGCGTCCTCCGCAATCCTGCGTCGGGCCGCGTCCTCTGGCTTCGCTCGGGCGGGTGTAGGGGCGTCCTTCGCCTCGCTCCGCCGAGCCTGGGGGCGTCCTGTCGCTTGGCTCTGCCCCGGCGCTTTGGCGGCGCGAGCCTGGGGGCGTCCTCCCGCCTCGCTCGGCCGGGTCTGGGCGTGCAGTGTGGCCTGGGCCTCCGGGGCGGGGTGAATTTCCCCGCGTCCCAGGTCCGGGCACGTCTCCCTTCCTCCAAATTCTTCAGCCGACCCCTCCACCCACCCGCTCGGCCAGATCCCAGGACAAAGTGAAAGGAGTCTGGCCTCACCCCAGCTGGGAACGCAGTCTTTCCGTTGCTCGGTTCCCGATGGTCATGGATGTGTCCCCTAAATCAGACTGAGTTTTCCATCTTTGCAAAAATAGATCCTACTCAATGTCACGTGGGCTCTTTTTTGAGAAGGACAGAAAACATATTTTCCATAAACAACGTGGTTGGTTTATTAATAATTAAATACCTTACTTTTTCGTTAAATGCACATTTCTATTAAAAATCCTTGAATTTGTAATGCGAAAGCTAATTGTGACAGTATACTAAACGATCAAGCCAACTACATTTACTCCTTTTGTAACAAGCTTTGCCACTTAATATTTTATGCCCCTTAAGTTCTGCGCTGAGCAAGGCTGTTAAATAAGCCTTATTTTTTTAAATACTTGAGTTGTTCCTATTTATTTTTTAACGTAAATATATTTAAATGTTTCTTTTTAAACACATGCAATTTGATAAAATACAGCAGCGTGTGATGGGCTAATGGAAACTCTCTTCGTACTCTCCATCGCCTCTGCCAAAGGAAACCGGTTAAAAGAAAAGTGGGAAATCAAGCTTCTAAAACAGCCGATCTGTTCCTGAATGGGCAGCCTCTCCAGACTCCAGTTGGTTTCATGCTGTGACTGCAGCTGCTTAACAAAGGGGGATCCCAAGCCAGATTGCTAAGGCCAAAAGAAAGAAAGAAAGGAAAAAAACTGGGACTTTATAACAAAGCAAAAGTTAACATGATATAGATTAATCTTTGGTTAATGAGAGTTTAAGTTTGTTGGTTTGATTGAAAATGCATGTCTTCAAGAGTTGTCAGTATTTGAATATGATGCAGACATGCAGCCTGGGTTTACTAGTCAAATAACCTCACATTGTCTGTTAGAAATTTCTCAGCAAAATAATAGCTTTAAATGATAATTTTGTCTAATGTCTCAAAGTTTTTGTGGGTAGTCTAAACTCTGATTCATGATTCACTGTTCACTGTTGGGAACAAATGGTCTAGATATAAATGAAATAAGTTTATAGATAAACTTTTATCAATATTTATAGTTTACGGCATGTGTATTTAAAATAACTTCCAAAATCTTTTTAGTAACTTGAAACTTTGAAGTTTTGCTAGGTTAATTGAAATGATAAAGATTCGTTAAGTATCTAGATCATCTCTAAATAAGATAGAGAAATAGACATTAATTACTAAATGTAAGTGTATCTACTTTTGGCTTCTTATTGCAGAGATGCTAAACGTGTTTGGGCCTTTTACTGTAAAGTAGTGCGTTTCTAGAAATTATGAAAAGTGTTTAGAATGCTGATATAAAAGGCAATTCATAATTGCTTACCTTT